TGCATGACATGATGCCAGAATAAGTGGTTAGTAATGATGTTATGGACAGAGGAAAATAGATGACTAGTATCTAGAATTCTGAAAATTTGCCTTGCTACACCTGCTGTTCTGCTGGGTCCCTGAAGAAATAAGCACTGAGGCTCTTGCGGGGGGCGCGGGGTGGGGGTCTTCGTTATAACTAGGCTCTTCTAGCTCCTACAGCTTTGGCCACCAGATCTACTTTGGTGAGCTAGACGAGACCAAAGCTGCAGAGGCTTATAGCCTAGCACAGTGAAAAGCCCAAGTAAGTTTTCTTCCTGGAGGAGAGGAGCACATAGGAAAAAACAGAGAAGAATAGCTCAAAACACCTTAGAAGGAAAGCAGTTCCAACAAAGAAGATAATCCAAGGAGAGGCTAAGAAGACCTTCCCCTCCAGAGCTCAGACAAGTTGTCCTGGGGAGCGTCTTGACCACCCTTGCTCGTTAAGTCCAGGGCCCCCCGTGCCAGTGTTCTTCTCTGCTCTCTTTTCCTAGTTTGGTTCATTCAACAAATATTAAGTATTTATTTAAGCATTCTTGTGTACCTGTATACAGGCCCAGGTACATAGTGGATAGAATAGAAAAAAATCCTTATCCCTTTGGAGCTCATATTTTCCCTTCTATAAATCCCCCCCCAAGGCATATATTACCCCCAGCTCTACTCCTGTCACCAAAATTCCACCTCTGCTACAGGGATATAATTGGGTATTTTTTGGTGTTCATTTTGTTCTTGACCCATGTAGTTGCTTTTCTTCTTTTGGTTGGTTGTGTGATGTAAATTTAAAGATAGACTGAGGAAAGCCTGGAGTTCCTGCCAAAGGATAATATGGGTGGACAACAGAGATGTTTAGGTTAAACACAGGCAATTTATATGTTCTTGAAAACAGATTGGAAATATAGTTATGGAGAGGATAAAAATAAGGGAGATTACTGAAGGAAAGGCAGTAGACGGCTGCTTTGAATATCTGCTGTGTGCAGAGCTTTTTTAGATGTTACGGGGGATGAATAAAAATATTAAAAGATGAGTTAGTACTGAAATAATTGGAACTAGCATAATAAAGTGGAAGGGGTGTTAGACTAGAAATCTGCTAACCAGATTTCCTAATAAGTACCCTGAAGAAGTCAGCCTTTCTGGCCTTCAGTTCCTTTGTCTGTGGAATGGGAATAAAACTGGATCAGTGAGTGGTTCACAACACTGTACATTAAAAACTTCTGGGAGGCTTTTACAATTCAGTTTTTGGAGGGTTGGGCTTGGGCCTGTTTTCAGAAGCTTCCACTGATATTATTTAAAAGCTCCCCGGGTCTAGGCTGAGAGCTGCTGCACAGGATCAAAGGCATTTCCAATTGTGACGTCTTAACATTTTATGAAATAAGCATAGCATGAACAACTATAGCTGTGGAAATATATGCAAATAGGATTGTTGGAATGATTAATGTTAATTAAGATATTATTATTAAGAAATCAACAGGCTGGTGTAACCAAGGGGGTAACACCATTCTTTTTGCCATTAACTTCTTTCATTCCTGTCTTATTTTCCTGCATGGTTGGTGGTTGTTTTTTTTTGCGGTACGCGGGCCTCTCACTGCCGCGGCCTCTCCTGTTGCGGAGCACAGGCTCCGGGTGCGCAGGCTCAGCGGCCATGGCTCATGAGCCCAGCTGCTCCGCGTCGCATGGGATCCTCCCAGACGGGGGCACAAATCCGTGTCCCCCGCATCGGGAGGCGGACTCTCAACCACTGCGCCACCAGGGAAGCCCTCCTGCATGTTTCTTATAAAGAGTGTTAAATGTTTTTCTGCAGTTTTTTCTTAATAAATGTTGCCTAATAAGCAGCTTTGAATTTCCACACAGTTTCAGTTGCTGTTTCTTATCACTGGAAAGCTCCTTAGTTTGTTAATCCAGGGACTAATGAATGAGAGTAAGCAATGGGGCCTGGAAAATCTCAGCATCCTCGGCAACACTGACACTTTAGACCATTAGTGTGATGAGGACTTTTATAATGGTGGTGAATATTCCTTATTATTTCCAAAAGGATAACTTTGAGGACATTGTCTATTTATATTTTCCCATTCATTCCTTTACATAATTAAGAACTGAGGTAATATAGTTTTACTGAGAAACTTTTTTTTAAAGATAGTCATAAGATCTCAGAGTTGGAGGAAAGAATAAAAGTTATCTGATGGTTGAATTCTTTATTCACTACCCTAGAGAAATGGTTGTCTAAACTGTATTTGAACCTCTCAGTTATCTGGCAACTAGCTCTCAAGAAAGCTTATTCCATCTTTGGAAAGCTCTGATTATTAGAAGGTTATTTTCTTATGTTGAGAGGACTAAAGTCTAACTCTCTGGAGTCCCTTGGGACCATAATACACTCTGTTTCTGCTTCATGTTGAAACGTTCTTCAGTTGACTTTTCACATCTTAATTCTTCTCTAGCTAATTACATCCGTTCTCTGGCTGTTTTGTATAGCTTTGTTTTGAGACACTTTATCTTGTTTATTCATATCACTTTTTTTTTTTTTTTTTTTGCGGTACGTGGGCCTCTCACCATTGTGGCCTCTCCCGTTGTGGAGCGCAGGCTCAGCGGCCATGGCTTACGGGCCCAGCCGCTCCTCGGCATGTGGGATCTTCCCGGACCGGGGCACGAACCCGTGTCCCCTGCATCGGCAGGCGGACTCTCAACCACTGCGCCACCAGGGAAGCCCTATTCATACCACTTTTGAAATGTGTTAGCACACAACAGTGTGTGTTTTGGAGGAGAGGGGTTTGCTTTTAAAACCAGCCTTCAATAAGAGATTTCTCAACTTTGCTCATACTGTATTCTGTAAGTTAATTTTGTATCACATAAATTGATCTCAGTCATGCCACACTGTAACCCTTACTTTTGACTAGTAAGTTTTTCAATTTGTCAGACTTTTTGTTCATAACCTAGTTATTTGTAAATTGGACTTCTTAGATGTAGCTGTAGGACTTCATATTTATTCCTTCATACTAAATTTTATCTGGTATATCAATATTTTTGAATCTTAATCCAGTGAATTCACCATCCTTTTAAAAAGCTTGGGATATTGTACAGAATTGATAATCATATCCTTTGTTATACACATGTCCACGTGGTTGGCAACCATGTCAAATAGGCAAAGTCATTTTTAGATAGTATATACAAAGCTAAGGCCCAGACCTATGTGCTGTAGCTACTCGAGGCCTGTCCCCTGCTACTAGAAAGTTCCCTCCGAGTAACGCTGGCATGTATTTACTTAAAGATCTGCTTTCTAAATCTTCTGTAAACCTCGAACACTCTTTTCTTGGCTTTCCCTAAGGTTAGTGTGCTTCCTCTCACTTTTTAGATCCATTTTAAATGTATCCTCTTCGGAAAGGGCTTCTCTGGCTACCTCATCCCAAGTAGCCTCTCACAGTAATGGGAGCATTACTGTTTTATTAGATCACTTAACTTTGTTCAGCGACACAAGTATGGTTTATTATTTGCTTCCCCTCTTCTAGAATGTCAGCTCCATGAGGTTGGAGACTGTATCTTTTGTCACTTGGTGCTATGTCCCAAGCCCCTGGCATAGTGCTTGGCACAAGTTAGGTACTCAGCTGTCAGTTGAAGGATGACAATGTTTACTGCTGCAATGTTTTGTTGTAGTTTTACTTTGTTCATAATTTGTGTAACAAAAACAAAAGGAATATTTACTATACCCTTTTGAATTATTGTATTCACTTTCACCAACTTTCCAGAGATTCTGTGACATTCCAGTGATGGGATAGCATACCTCTAGTTGGAAAATCTCTGCTTTGCTCTGATCACCTTTAATCACATCTGTAATTATCTTTACATCTAGCCCATTTTTTTCTGTTCAGTATGCTTCCAAAAGGATTTCATGAAAGATCTTATCAGTTGCCCAGATACATGTAAAAGTGGACAGAATTTTAGAAATTTTTGTCTCAGATATGAGAAAAGCCTCTAATTGGGTAAATAATATCTAATTGGAATTTCAAGTAGAAGGATCCTAGTAGATTCCTTATTGAAATAAATATCTACTTGGTATTTATTTTATTTCCCTGACATATGCTTATCAAAGTGGGGCTAGATACTTATTCTTTGTGAAGTTATATTGGGTTTTAATAAATTACCTCTTTACTAGTTCACCTGGAGTCTTGTCTGGAATCTGTATCAAGATTACCAGCCTATTGTTTGAGGACTCCATCTTTATTTGAAAATTAGAGTGTTATTCAAAGAATATTGACTATAATTCAGCAGTTTGATTTGCTCGCTCTTCTGATTTTAGTTTAGTTTATTTATTTATATTTGGCTGTGTTGGGTCTTCGTTGCTGCGTGCAGGCTTTCTCTAGTTGCGACGAGCGGGGGCTACTCTTCATTGTGGTGCGTGGGCTTCTCATTGTGGTGGCTTCTCTAGTTGTGGAGCACGGGCTCTAGGTGCGGAGGCTTCAGTAGTTGTGGCCCGCAGGCTCAGTAGTTGTGGCTCGCGGGTTCTAGAGCCCAGGGTCAGTAGTTGTGGCACATGGGCTTAGTTGCTCCGTGGCATGTGGGATCATCCCGGACCAGGGGTCGAACCCGTGTCCCCTGCATTGGCAGGCAGATTCTTAACCACTGCACCACCAGGGAAGCCCTACTTTGATTTTAAATTAACTTTGTCTTTCTGTGTTAAAGGGCCAAGTGAAATATGTTTTGAGATAAAAGCTAGAAGCTCTTCTCAGATTCTGACAGGCTTTTCCTTGCCCATGTGTTCTTAAGTACACAAGTGATCATGGTTCCCATCTGTTGGTAGACAGAATTCATGCGGGTTATTCCATGCAGGCACCAAGTTTTATACCTGTCTGTGAAATTTTGTAATTTGAAAGTCCATAAATAAACATCTGTATGACTTAATCATTATTCTGAAGAGAATTGTGGTTGTTAATGAATTTTTGAAAAAGTATATTTTCTGTTTTAATAATATGTGTCTTTTTTCTCCCCCCACCCAGAGAATGGATCTTGGAGAATGTCTGAAAGTCCATGACCTGGCTTTAAGAGCAGATTATGAAATTGCATCCAAAGAACAAGATTTTTTCTTTGAACTCGATGTATGTCATTTTGCTTCAAGTTAGATTATCTTTTGCAGTAAAATATTTTGAATATGGATTCATATCTCTTAATGGGAAAAGGCTCTTAGCAAATTATCTTTTTTGTGATTATATGAAGGGTAGTACTAAATTAAGATTATGTACTTTCTTAACAATAGTTTTTAAAAATAGGTGAAACTGGGTATTTTAAGAGAATGTGTGAAAGTTGTGCACGTCATATATTCTTTTGAAAATTAAGCATATTCTTCCCAATTAAGGTGGTTGTGATTAAGGAAATACCATCTTAAGCAAATGTAAACAACTAATTTCTAGTGTATATAAAGCCCTTTAATTACTGAATTTTTACATTCGTATTTATTTTTGTATTTGTAAATACATATGTAGAGAGAGGGAGGATGTTAAGGACAATGTTGTTTTTTATGTAAAACTAATAGAAGAAATATTAGAGGAAATAGAAGGTACAATTTAGGTATCTAAAGGGCTCAAACTCTTGACTTTTTTTTTTTATACAAACCTGAGAATAATTGGGACTTTTTTTTTTTAATAGAAAACGTACCAATCAGCGTTACGTAAAACGTACTGATGACCATAAACCTTATATGTTTTATCAGTGAGGTAGTAGATGTTTCATTTGGTTTGGGAGATAAAGTAGTAAATAGGCCCCCTCCCCCCCCCCCGGCCGATCTACTTTTTTGAACTTCCAGGAATTTCTGCTAACGGAAATGAAGTCATCAATGTAAACATAATTTAATATGGGGCTGGAGCAGTCAGGGAAACACCTTAAAGTGATTGTGTTATGATTTAATCTACACTGGGCATAAAATACAGCAGAAATTCACCACCGTGTAGATGTAGGGGTATGGTGTTTTCAATCTTTTTCTCTTATGGTATGGTAATACATTGTTTTTACGTATCAAGTATCTACAGATTAAATTTCTAGAAACAGAATAACTGAGTCAAAGGCCAGTTTTGCCTGGTTGCCCTCCATGAGAATTATCAATTTATACTCCCACCAGTATGTATGAAATTATCTATTTCCCATAGGCCACATAGTGTGCTGTCAAGATTTCTATGTAGCTTTGATAGATGAAATGTGAAATATAGTGTAATTTTAATTGGCATTTCTCTTATGAGTGAGTTTGAAAAAATTTTACAGATTTAAGATCTGTTTTTATTTCCCTTTCATTGAACTGTCAGTGTACATTTTGCAGGGGGTGGGTGCTATTTGCTAATCTTGGATGTTAGTATTTTTCTAATTGATTTGCACTGACTCTTTACAGATAAGGAAAATTAGTCTCTTTTCTCAGATAATACATTGCAATTTTTTCCTATTTCTTTTTTGGTAGTTGTGAGTCTTGCAAAATATTTGTATAGTTGTCCAATTTATTAATCTTTTAAAAATCTATTCGATTAATTCAAAAGGCCTTCCCTACCCTGATGTGATGAGAATTCTATCTCATGGTTTCTTCTGGAATTTTTATGGCTTTGTTTTATATATTTAAATCTGTGATCCAACTTAAATTTATTCTGTTATAAGGAATTGAGGTGTAGATCTCCCTTTTTCCAGATGGCTGCTTAGTTGACCCAGCACTATTTATGGATTAGTTCATCTTTTTTTAAAGATAAAATTTAAACTAAAAGAATTAAATAGCTGTTTGTTTCTCATCACAGATAAAAGGTTTTATTTTGCATTTTCATGAAATTCATGGGTTAATCAACCATTTTTAGAATTTGATACGTGTTGAGTAAATTTTTATTTTTAAACATTGTGTTTTGAATTAGTTGTATTTCTCTACAGTAAGATATGAAAGTCTAAATCGGTTGGTTTGGGAATAAATCTTTAAAGTTTACTTTTAAATGAATTATTATTTAATTATAGATATATTAATATATGCCCGATGAGTGTCTTTTATATAAATATTGACCTGGATTTTTGCAGTGTAGACACTTTTAAAATTCTCAGTGGTTTATTCTTTGAGAAAAGGGCAGGTTTTTCTGATTGTTAACATTTTCATTGTGAAAAATTTGAAAAGCACATGAAAACAGATTATTAAAAATTATCCGTATATTCAGAAATAATTACTGTTAACATTTAATGTATGCTCTTCCATTTTTTCCATGCTACTTTATTTTACAAAAATGAGATCTTGCTGCATTTAACGTTTTGTAACTTTTTATTTACAAATAAATCATGACCATTTTCTTATATCCTTAACGTGTTCTACTAACACCTTTTTTAAATGGCTGAGGATTAAATTTTCCAAGTGTTACCTGGATATTTAGGGTATTTACAACTTTTCACCATTAAAAATAACACTGTGAAGAACATCTTTGAATATTAATTCCTCCATATACCTCTGATTACTTTTTTAAAAAATTTTATTTATTTATTTATGGCTGTGTTGGGTCTTCGTTTCTGTGCGAGGGCTTTCTCTAGTTGTGGCAAGCGGGGGCCACTCTTCATTGTAGTGCGCGGGCCTCTCACTATAGCGGCCTCTCCCGTTGCGGAGCACAGGCTCCGGACGCGCAGGCTCAGCAGCCATGGCTCACGGGGCTAGTTGCTCCGCGGCATGTGGGATCCTCCCAGACCAGGGCTCCAACCCGTGTCCCCTGCATTGGCAGGCAAATTCTCAACCACTGCGCCACCAGGGAAGCCCTGATTACTTTCTTAAAACAGATTTCTAGAAGTAGAATTACTAAGTCAGGGGTCATTTTTAAAGCTTTTGATAACGATTACCATGGTGCCTTTTTATAAAGGCTGTGCTAGTTTGCGCTTCCTTCAGCAGAGCATGAGAGTGGCAGTTTCCTTATAGCCTTACCTTTCCTGGGAATTATTTATGTCTATTCTTCGTCAATTTGATAGATGATGAACAGGTTTTCAATTTGTAACTGAACCCAGTTTTGTTATTTTTTTATTCCCATGGTAGCATTTTAAATAATAAAGTGTAATTTGTGAGTAAAGATATTTATGAACAAGGTTGGTTTTTCTTGCAGTAATTGTCTTTTAATTAAACTTTGTAGGCTATGGATCATCTGCAGTCATTCATTGCAGATTGTGATCGAAGAACAGAAGTGGCTAAGAAAAGATTAGCAGAAACTCAGGAAGAGATCAGTGCTGAAGTTGCAGCAAAGGTAAGACTTTCAATCATTTCGTTAATGCAAAGTATAGTTTTACCTCACTACTTTTGTTTTAACTTTTTATTTTGAAATAATTACATTCATAGGAGATTGCAAAGACATATATAGGGAAATTTTACATACTCTTCCTTTAGCCTCCCCTAGGTTAACATCTTACACAACTACAGTACAGTATCATAAGCCAATAAATTGGTATTGGGCCAGTCCTTACATTTAATTCAGATTTCACCAGTTAGGCATATGTGTGTATAGCTCTATGCAGTTTCATCACGTGTTCCTTGGGTAACTACCACCATAATTAAGTTACTTAACTGTGTAGCATCACCACATACTCCCTTGTGTTACCCCTTTAGAGCCACACCCATTCCCCACTAGGCCCTGGCCACCACTAATGTATTTTCCATCTCTATAATTATGTAATATCATTGAATATTATGTAAGTGGAATCATGCAGTATGTATCCTTTTGAGACTGGCTTTTTTCACTCAACACAACTTCCTTACTATTCATACAGGTTGTTCATCAGTAGTTCATTCCTTTTTATTTTTGAGTATTCCATGGTATGTATATACCACAGGTTAACCATTCACATATTGAAGGACATTTGGGAAGGACATTGCGGTTATTGGCTAATACCAATAAAGCTGCAGTAAATCTTTACGTACAGATTTTTGTGTGGACATACGTTTTCATTTCTGTGGGATAAATGCCCAAGGATACAGTTATTGGATCATTTAGTAAATATATTTTTAGTTTTGAAAGCAAGTGCCAAACTTTTTTCTAGAGTGGCTGTACCATTTTACATTCCTGCCAGCAGTGTGTTAGTGATCCAGTTTCTCCACATCCATGCCAGCATTTGATAGTGTCACTATGTTTCTTTCTTTTCTTTCTTTTTTTTTTTGGCCGTGCGGTGTGGCATGTGGGATTTTAGTTCCCCGACCAGGGATCAAACCCGTGCCCCCTGCATTGGGAGTGTGGAGTCTTAACCACGACCGCCAGGGAAGTGCCACTGTGTTTGATTTTAATCATTCTGAAAGGTGTGTGGTGATATCTCACTGCAGTTTCAGTTTGCATTTCCCTAATGACTAATGATGCTGAACATTTTTTTCATGTGCTTATTTGCCAACTGTATAACCTCTTTTGTATAACCTCTTCAGTGAAATGTTTGTGTTTGTCTTATGCCCATTTTCCAGATGGATTGCTCATTTTTTTAATGTTGAGTTTTGAGTATTCTTCAGATGTTCTACTCTACTTACTACCTTTTAAAAATGTTTTGTTGACTACTTATATGCAAAAAGTAAATAGAAAAGTACAGTGAACCCCAATGGATTCGAAGCCATCAGTCTTGTGCTATTGTTTCATTATTTTAAAAGCAAATTCTAGACGTCATATCATTTCACCTCTTAAACATAACCACAAAATTACATCCATAAAGGTAACAATTTAAAAAAATTATCCAATATCCAGAATGTGTTCATTTTTCCTGTGTAGAGTTGGTTTGTTGAATCAGAATTCAAAGTCCACATATTGACTTTTGTTGGTTTGACTTACTACTTTATTCAGTATAGTCTGGCACATTTTATGAAAACGCAGAATGGAGACAAAGTTACTCAGTAGAGTTTAGGTGACGTGATTAAATATAGTGCTCATATATGTGTGTACAAAGGGAAATGGATTCCTTTGTTTGAGGAGAGGGTTACCTTTAACCAACTTTTTCTGGAAAGTTCCCTTAAGATGGGGACTGTAAAGATGGGCATCCTAAAGTACAAGGAATCTCATTTCTCATGGTTGAAAGAGATCCACAGGTGTTGGCTAGACCCCAGCTGTATTGATTTATACAGTATCGTATTGGTTATATATCACCACAAAAATGCTGTTTAACAGACCACCTCAAAACTTAAAACATTAAATATTTATGTAGCCCATGAGTCTATAATCAGTGACTTAGGCTGAACTTGACTGGGCAGTCATTCCTGTCTCAGCTGGGCTCACTCACATGTCTTCCAGTCGGCTGGAGGCTGCTGAACTATGGCCTAGAAGGCTAGCCTGGCCATGTTCCCATGGTGGTAGCAGAGGTGCAAAAGTATCAAGCCCAGTCATACAAGCATTTTTTAAGCCTTCCCCTATGTCATATCTGCTACCGTCCTGTTAACCAAAGCCAGTTACATGGCCAGGTTCAGAGTCAGCGTATGATGGTACTCAGTTACGTAGCAAAGGGCACAGATGCAGGAAGGGTGAAGAGTTCTGGTCGTTAATGCAGTCATTCTGTGGCAGGTATTTACAGAAGATAACATTTTGTTAAAAGTGGTAGGATAATGATAACAGAGTTGGGGATTTTTTTGAGGGACAAATATATTGGATTGAGGTAAATTTAAGAAGGAAAGATTACTGGCACACTACTTTGTTGGGACTGGATGTCCATTTCAAATCAAAACCTTCTTTGCAGAACTTGCCTGGTAGTCCAGTGCTTAAGAATCCTTCTTCCAATGCAGGGGACACGGGTTTGATCCCTGGTGAGGGAACTAAGATCCCACATGCCATGGGGCAACTAAGCCCACGCGCTGCAATGACTGAGCCCACACTCCACAACTAAGACCCAGTGCAGCCAAAGGCGAAAACAAAAACTTCTTTACTAATATTATTGGCCACACAGGCTGAGTACTTATTTTGTAGCCAAAGTAAAAACATAAACACAGTAAAGACTGTGTTTATGTTATCATATGCTGTTAAAACAATAAGAATGAACTAGATTCCCACGATGATGGTGGTGGTGAGGAGGAGGCATATCAAAACGCAAGGCAAGAATTAATCCTAATGGAAAGACATGGACTAAGAGAGAAGGGTGCCATGCTTGTCTACTGAATATCAGTAATGTGCTGCGTGCATGTACAGGCACGTTTTCTCGTTTCTCACAATTTTGTGAGATTATCCGTACTTCTCAGATGAGGAAGTAGATTCAGGTTACGTAATATGGCCAAAATTGCATGGCTGTTAATTGGTTTGGCAGTTGGACTCTAAAGCCATATCTTTGCTTTAAAGAACATCCTCCAGTTCATTTCTTTTAACTCATGTTTGAGCGTATGCTATTTCTTGGGCATTGGAAATACAAAAATGGTATATAGATATCTTTAAAGTGGTGTGATATATATAAAAGTAATGGTCATAGAAGATACGAAGATGGTACAAAGGAGGGTATTGCCCTCTCTGCTTAAGTGTCTTAAGTGAGGGTAAGGTGTGGTGATTGATTGTTCACCAGTGCTTCACATAATAGACTCTTGAGTTGAATCTTAACTGAATGACAGACATACACTAGGCAGGTAAGGGAGGTAATGGACGACATCGCAGGAAGAGGGAGCAGTACGTGCGAAGTCACAGAGGAAGAAAACAACAGAGTAAGTTTGGGAAACTAAATATAAGTGTAGATTTGTTGTGAAGTTGGAGAACAGAAAGAGATAGTTTGGAAAGGTACAGAGAGCCAAATTGTGTACAAAAATGTATTTTATACTTGGAATGCACTGCCAGAGCAGAGGTTGAGAAGTAATAGTTACATTGAGATCAGTTGTACCCCTGAATTCACTGAAGTAAAGGCAGGCAGGCTCAAAACATCTTGATGTCCCACCAGTTCATTTATGATACGCTCAGAAAGCATTAGTTATACTCATATTGCCTTAGATAATTTATGTCTTTTTATGCAATATTTTGAACTTTGGTACATTCTGCTTTTTATTCATGATCTTTTCTGATTCTCTCCAGGCAGAACGTGTTCATGAGTTAAATGAAGAAATCGGTAAACTGTTGGCTAAGGTGGAACAGCTAGGAGCTGAAGGGAATGTGGAGGAATCCCAGAAAGTAATGGATGAAGTAGAGAAAGCACGGGCAAAGAAAAGAGAAGCAGAGGTAACTAAATTCTTTATGGTAGTTTATAGAGCCTTAGTGTCTGTACTTCCTAAAGAACATATATTTGACTAGAAATTATTGAAAAATTATTACTATTAAAGGAAATTTAAACCAGTTTAAAAATATTTAACTAGTTTGTATCATACTAATGGGTTGTATATCAAAATTAGTGGTTGTTTTGGAATTTAGAGTCATTGATCCTATTGAAATTTATAACTAGTAAATGAAATTAACTAAACTAGCGAGTCATACACAACAGTCTCACACACAATCCACACATGTGCAGTCTTCATATACATGGTCACTATGATACCCTACCCCCTACTCCATGGCCCATGCAACTATAGTATTCTCTCTTCTTACTTAGTACAGTCTGCTAACACATTGGGAGCCTCCTCTCATTCTTCCTCCACAGCACAGATCAAAATCTGATATCCTACAGACAAAGTTCTATTTTGTTTGGTCCCCCTGATATTTTTTAGAAAATCGAATGCCTTTGGATGAAAGTGTACTCTCCCCTTTACCATAGTCTCCATTGTTCCTAACTGTATCACACCTGGGTTTAATTTTTTCTTACTATCTAGCCTTTTAAGGCAGAAGCTCAGATAATTGGTTTATTTTTTAATTTTATTGAAGTATAGTTTATTTACAGTGTGTTAATTTCTGCTCTGTGGCAAAGTGACTCAGTTATACATATGTATTGTTTTCTATTCTGTTTTATCACAGGATATTGAATAGTTCCCTGTGCTCTACAGTAGGACCTTGTTGTTTATGCATCCTATGTATACTAGTTTGCACCTGCTAATCCCAAGCTCCCAATCCTCCCTCCCCACACCCCTTAGATCATTGATTTTAGACCATTTAATGCTGTAAGTTTTCTTCTAAGCACGATGGTAGCTTAGAAGGTATGAAACAGATTTTCATATATTGTTTTTATTTTCATTCATTTCTAAATATTTGCTAATATTGCTTTGTGATTTCTTTTTTGACTTGTGGGTTTTGAAGGCATGTGTTTAGTTTTTACATATTTGGATTTGTTTTTTGTTTGTTCTTTTCAGATTTTTTCTGTTAATTTTAATTCAATTCTGTTGTGGTCAGAGAACATGTGTGTGATTTCAGTTTTCTTAAATATGTCAATACTTGTTTTGTGGCCCTGCATATGGTCTGTCTTGGGGAACTTTCCATCTGTACTTGAGAAGAATGATATTCTGCCTTGTTAAATGGAGTGTTCTATAAATGTCAATTGAGTCAAGGTAGTTAATAGATTTTTTCAAGTCTTCTGTATCCTATTGAGTTTTCTGCCTATGAGAGGAGTGTTGAAGTCTCTATAGTTGTGGATTTGTTTATTTATGCTTTTCATTTTGTCAGTTTTTGTTTTATTTTGAAGCTCTGTTATTAGGCTAATAGACATTTAGGAGTGTTGTATCTTTTGATTAATTTAATCCTTTATTATTTTGACATGTCCTTCTCTGTCCCTGTTAATGTCCCTTGTTTTGAAATCTCCTTTATCTTATGTTAATAAAAGACTCTCCAGCTTTCTTCATAAGTTAAGTTGTGTACTATAAACCCTAGAGAAACCATTGGAGGGGAGAAAAGAGTTATAACTAATAGTAGCAATAAAATGGAATCCTAAAAAATACTTAATCCAAAAGAAAGGCAGGAGAAAAGGAACAAACAACAGATTGGACATATAGAAAATAAATAGTGGGATGGTAGACTTAAACCCAGTGTACCAATAATTACATTAAATGTAAATGGTCTCAACAATCCAATTAAAAAGCAGAGATTGTGAGACTAGATTTAAAACAAAACAAAACAACAACAAAAAACCCCCACAAGACTTAGCTATGTACTAGCTACAAGAAACCCACTCTAAATACAAAGACACAGATTAAAGGTTCTAGGCTGAGAAAAGATATACCAAGTAGCCATTCTAGATAGCTTTAATGTCTTAATATTAGGATTTCTTGAAATGTAGTTAATATCAATCCAGAAAATAAGTACTATGAATTTTAAAATGCACAAAGTATTTTATAGCTAGTTTATTTCCCCAGAAGACTCGGGTAATGAAGCCAGCAATCATTATTACTTTCCTTCCATATATTGGAGTTTTCATAAAACTTCATATATATACACTTGGTGATTTACTAGTATTACCCAGTAGCTCAATATTGTTAGCCTGTTATGTATTATCAGTTGATTTTTACTTAGGACAGTGCATTAAATTGTTTACTTTCCTATTATAGATTGTGTTCAACTGTACGTAATAGGAAACTTAACTTACAATGACTGAACCAAAGAAGGGTTTTGTTTTTCTCATCTAATAAATACTTGAGGTTAGGAAGCCTGGGGCTGGTACAGTAGCTCCATGATGCCATCTAGCATACAAGCTACTTCTAACTTTAAGTTCAGCCATCCTTACTATGTGGATTCATCTTTATGCTCATCAGTTTGTGGTAGCACTATGGCCACTAAGCCTAAAGCCTTTCCTCTATGCGTAAGTAGAAAGAGGAGGAATAACAAGGCACAAAAGTTGAGTTGACTCGTCTTGTGTGTTGTGTTTTCAGTTTTCCTTTTTAAAATTTTTTTATTTTGAAATATTTTAAGAAAAGTTAACACATCGTGTGAAGAATTCCCCTATGTCCTTCACCCAGACTCTTCAACATTTTACCACATTTGCTTTATCATTTTCTTCCTACATGAGTGTGTGTGTGTATTTTAACTGTTTGACAATAAGTTATAAATATGCTGCCTCTTTATCCCTAGATACTTCAATGTGTATTTCTTAAAAGCAAGGATATTTTATTATATGACCACAGTACAGTTATCTGAATTAAGAAGTAACATTGATACAGTACTATTAATTAATCTGAAGACTTTGTTCAGTTTTTGCCAGTTGTCCCAATAATGTTCGTTTTGAGAAAAGGAAAATTTTTTTGTTTAAGATCCAGTCCAGGATCACGTATTGCATTTAGTTATGTTTCTCTAGAGTCTAATATAATCTGGGACCTCAGTCTTTGTTCTACATGATCTTGACAGTTTTGAAAAGTATAGGCTAGTTATTCTGTAAAATGTCCTTCACTTTGGATTTGTCTAATATTTCTTTCTCATTAGATTTTTGAGAGGAACACCACTGAAATAATGCTACAGCCTTATCAGAAGGCATGTGTTAGTGGTTTGTTCATTTCTGGTGATGTTACCTATTTTTCCACTGTGAAGTTACTGTGTTTCCCTTTTGTAGTTAATAAGTGTCTTGGTACTGACATTGTAAGTATTCTGTTTTCCATTGCTTCTTGATCCACAGGTTATAGCAGCTGTTGATGATTTTCGTCTGAATCTTTTGACTCCTTTTTAAAGAACTTTCCTGTAGATTCTGTCAAGCAGTGTCCACTTATATCTCCTTAGCAAAAGCTACATGGAAGCTTGGAAATGTAATGTTTTTAGCTGGCCATGCTGCTGCCTCAAACAAAAATCAGAATCCTGTTAATAAGGAAAGAGAGTAGAGTGGATACGCAAATCCACTAATATTTATTATTTCATTAATGAACTTAATATAAATAAAATGATTTGAGTACAAGACATCTTAATCTCCATAAGACACCTTTCATCTTTGTCTTTAGAGCTGCTCTGTTTGATGGGAAGTCTTATCATTTGTACGCCCTGTCTGCATTTACATAGGGGGGAAATGATATGTGGGCAGGAAGGCAGTGGAAGGAAGCTGTAATAGTATGGAAGACATATGCAGTCCTTTTCCCCAAGCATGAGCGACTGCTGCTTCCTTGATCCTTCACTGATGTATACTTTTGGGGTTGCTACATCTCATTTTTAACGAAAATTATAGAAAACAGAACATTGAGAAAGCCTTTTAAGAAAGTTGTATCATGTTACTGTTATGGTATTTCTTGACAAAAGAGGCTCTGATCTTTCATTTCCAGTGGAGAAGTCCCGAGGACAGAGGATTGGGGTAATGGGGAATCTGTAATATTCGTGACAAAATAGTCATGCTTTTGTGTGTTCATTAGAAACATTTTTGGTATAAACATAGTGTATTTTGTGTAATTGTATGATTTTAATGCAGTTTATATGAACATTGTTTCTGTCATTTTTGTTTAGGAAGTTTATCGGAATTCTATGCCAGCTTCCAGTTTCCAGCAGCAGAAACTTCGAGTCTGTGAAGTTTGCTCTGCCTATTTAGGTCTTCATGATAATGACAGACGACTGGCTGATCATTTTGGGGGTAAACTGCACCTGGGATTTATTGAAATAAGAGAGAAGCTTGAAGAATTAAAGGTACATTGGTAAATTAATATCCCTCACTTTATCCAATATAGCCACTCATTCTTTTGATCTGTGTAAGTTGTCTTTTTGTGTAGTATTCTTGATTGTGATTCAAGACTATTCTTAACTGTGATTCTGTTAACAATTCATACTGAATAGTGTAGGATTGTAAATGGAAATACCAGCTTGTTTAATGGATGATATCTGAGAAACAGACTTTAAAAATCCTCTTACTCTGGGAGGAGGTACTATTTTGTCTTGGATATGATGTTGAATTAGGGAGGAACCTTGCAAACTGGGTTCTAAAATAATGCCTAAAATTTCCAGTGATACTTTCTTTTTTTAATAAAATGAATAGTAATTTAGTATGATGTTTACTTTAAAGGAAGATTGAAAAAATGATCCAATATTTATTTGAAATATTTTGCAGTTCACTAAATAGCAAACTGGTAGGACCTCTAGTTTTATGCTTTTGCCCCCATTTCAGAAAGGACTTAGAAACCAATTTTTTAAAAAGGACAATCACTGTCGCTTAAATATATAGGCTGTTGTGAGACAGGCAACACAGCTCTTACTCGTCTGCTGAGTTCTGAGAAGATAAACAAAAAAAAAAGGTTATTTCTAAAGAGGTGAACATAAGCAGAGTCAATGGAAAGGATCAATTTACTTTTCAACAATCTGATGTGGCTAGTTTTTTAAAAAAATGGTGGCACTGTAGCATTTTGTCATGAACTGAGGACTGTCTCAAAGATGGGAAACACTGGGAAGTGACTTTTTGTGCAGTTATCACTGAAATTAACCCAGGATCCATAGTTTGACATTTAAAATAATGTGGAATCAGAATCACCTAGACACGTCTCCATATTTGTAGTTAACTGTGAGCTCGTCTCAGTATTTGGAGTAGCTAGGATGACCTTGGGTAAAGTTTTTGAAATTACAAAAAGAGTTTCACTATAGCAAATGATTGTTTGGATTGAAGTTAAAACTCAAAAATGGTACCTAATTGGGAACCTTTGCAAATATAGACCTAGCAACAGAACTGTTTAGCATTTCACTGGTACTTTTTAAAAGCAGCAGCCTCAGGATTGTAACTAGAAGTCGACAGAAAACATTTCTATATTGGAAATCTTTAAAGAGTTTAGAATTCAGAAGACGTTAAGAGGAGAAAAATCTCGTGAAAGTGACTTTGAAATATTAAGAAGTCATGGAGAAACATGAAATTTTATATGGAAGGGGGGGAAAGAGTTTGGAAACCAGACTTGTAAGCTTAATGATTATACCTGGCAAAACTTCAAAATGAATTCTTACTAAAAACTTTTTAATGTTAGATATGGTAAAGTTTAGGATAATGCTCACTAAGAATGGGCCCAGTAAATAATGCTTCTCATTTAGTATTATTTGAACTGTCATTGTTTTTTAAGAGAGTTGTAGCTGAGAAGCAGGAGAAAAGAAACCAGGAACGCCTGAAAAGAAGAGAAGAAAGGGAGAGAGAAGAAAGGGAGAAGCTGAGGAGGTATGGAGTAATTGAGTAGTCCAAGTATCTGAAGTTGAACATCCCTGGTTCTAAAAAGAGATGTGATTATACAAGGTTGTAGATGTTAATAAATCTGGACATGAGCAATTTCTGTTTACTCTTAAAAATATTACCATGTGAAACAATGTTTATTCAAGTATGTTAACTTACGGCTGTTTAAGTTAAGGAGATTTCCTTCAAAATGTATGGAAGAGGGAATAATGATTGCTTCACATCTGTATGTTTAGTAAGATATATAACAAGGCCCTTTTCTAGCCCTCTGATTTTCATAATGGGCTAGCTTTGTACCAGGCTGGCATGGAACTATTTTATGATACATACCTGTTGATAGAAGGTTTGGGTATTTTTTTGTCCGCTTCTTTCATTGATTATTTTACATTGTACTTCGATTCTGTATTTCTTCAGTTTAGGAGCTATAAACTGTTAAAATTTTTATTCGTTTATTAATAGCTAAATGTGCACAATTCTTTTTATATTGACATTAGTTGATAAAATCATATTCTTCATATTTAGAATGTTTACATGTTCTGGGTCACTTTTACCCATTGGCAGCAAGTTGTGTGGCATCATGTTTATAAATTCAGCAATTTTCAGATGGGAGGGGTATGCCACAAAACATTTACCTGTAGTTCTAACTTAATAGTGTTCCCTTAATTGTATTACGTATCTCTGAAATTTAAGTACCTTCTCTTCAGCAGATGTCCCTAAATTAATTAAAATCTTTGATAATACAGGACTAGGTTATGTCAGCTTCTTTCAAGCTTTGATCCTGTTACACTCAGTCTATTTCAAGACATTTAAACTGACTTCATTTGTGTTACATGGCTTGTAACAGGTAATCTTTTTGCACTGTAATGACAAAACAAAACAAAGCTACATATGGACATGTTCCTGTTTAGAGGAACTGCTGTCATTCTTCCGTTGATATATATGTTCTTCATTTACTGGTAAATTTTACCTCAGAGCTTTATCTCTGTTCTCTTTTGTATATACTAAGTTTCTGTGGAAATATTGCCCAGTGTTGTAATATTTAAGACGATATGAATGGTATTTGAAGTCTCAGTTTAAGCTAAAATTCAACAGAATATAGTGCCACTAGTATAAACTATTGAACTGAGGTGATAGTCAAATGAGAAACAAAATTCTTTGCAGGACTACATTTTCACATATGTAAAGTTAATGAGAAAGTACATCACATCTTACTCCTTTAATGGCAAATTGCCTTTAACATTAGTTATAAAATGTTAACACTGTTTCAGAAATGGACCTAAGTATGGAAGATGAGGAAATTACTAGTAAGTAGAAAATGACACACAAAATGGGATTCCACCTATGGTATTGCAAAGGATAATGATAAAAGTTACTGTCACTTGATGCTTATTATGTGTCAGCCACTGCACTAAGAATTTACCTATATTCATCTAATACTTGAAAGCCCCCTGTGAAATTGTTACTACTATCCGTCTTTTGCAAATGACAGACTAAGCGGAGGGAAGATGCCTCATCTGCCCAGGCCACATAGATAGTGAGTGATGGGAACAGTTAAGGTAAACATCAGGCTGAATCCGAGGTCATGCTGCAACCGTGGTATATATTCTCCACCAACCCCTGTGACTGACTTCCTGGTAACCGTAACGTTAGCTGTTACTATCTGTTGAGCTTTAATTATGTGCTAGGAAATATGAAGAGTACTTTACATAAGAGTATTGTGTGTCATATTAAGAAACATTGTATGATTGAATTGAGTGTTCTAGGGATTATAGTGTGAGGTGATAATTACAAAGTATTGTCTCACAGATCAGAAATTTTATTCTGTTCCCAGAGGGAAAGAAGAAATGACAGAGATAAAAATAATGAATTTTTTCCAGGCTAGGAGGTGGTTTTTGGATATTTAGTGAGTTGTGTTGTGTTTTAGTCTTCTAGGAGCATATTCTTTTTTTCAGAGCCAGGTAGCCTAGTTAAGGGGTATGCCAAAGTGGGGAAGTCTGTAAAGTTTGTGGTGCCTTTTGGAAAAATTTGTGTACATACATACAAGCCTTATATTTATAAAACTAATATAAAAATTAGAAATGAGGATGTAATTTTAACAGTACATTGTACCTTTTCTTCCTTTTTTATAGTTACTTTTCTAAAAATAGATTTTTTTTTTTTTTTTAGGTCTCGATCACATAGCAAGAATCCTAAAAGGTAGGTATTAATACAAGATAAGTTGTGAAGCTGTGTTTTCCAAAGGTAGTTTTTATAGATTAAGTACCTTTCTTAAAATGAATGAGAATTAATTAGTACTCTTAATTCTTTTGTAGCTCACATTTGAGCAGTGTCATTTGAGAAGTTGGTCAGAAGATACTCATGAGCTACAGTTTAGTTTTATCAGAGTAAAATCACAAAGTGCCCTGGAGTTATAGAGAAAGCTAAAAATATTTCAGAATATTTTATTAAAATCTTCTTTAGACGCTCAGAGTAAACATGTGACGGGATTTATTTTTAAAAATCAGTTTGGGTCGCACATGTAAGAAACACATGCTGAGAGGTTGTACCTGTTCAAAATATAAGTAGTTGGATACATTTTGAATGAGGGAATCTATGGTGAGTTAATTAAGGGGGAAATGAAAATGTTTGTTTGCACCCAATCTAGACTTTGAGTTTATTACTTCTCCCCTTGTACAGTGATCCCAAAAAGCTTTAAAGGGGCATTTTTTAAATGCCCCTTTAAATAGGAAGAGGACAAGATAACACTTTGTTTTGACCTTTGGCACTAATACTTGTGGGCTTTGAAGCTTTTTTTTTTAAATACAGTTTTTACTAGTTTCTGACAGTTTTTCTCTTTCTAAGGTGAGGAAACATGGTGCACTTCATCCTTCTTAGTTCTTCACTTGCTGTTCTCTCATTCCTGTTTTGAGCCTTTTTTTTTTTTTTTTAATTATTTTTGGCTGGGTTGGGTCTTCGTTGCTGCGCACGGGCTACTCTTCGTTGTGATGTGTGGGCTTCTCATTGTGGTGGCTTCTCTTTGTTGCGGAGCACGGGCTCTAGGCGTGTGGGCTTCAGTAGTTGTGGCATGCGGGCTCAGTAGTTGTGGCTCTTGGGCTCTAGAGCACAGGTTCAGTAGTTGTGGCGCACGGGCTTAGTTGCTCGGCAGCATGTGGGAACTTCCCAGACCAGGGCTCGAACCCGTGTCCCCTGCATTGGCAGGTGGATTCTTAACCACTGCGTCACCAGGGAAGTCCCCTGAGCCTTTCTCAAATGAGTCCATGCCTACGCAGAGTGCCCTTTCTCATTTTTTTCAAATCCTACCATTCCTTATTCAAATCACATCTTCTTTTTTGAAACCTTCTGAGTATTCTTGACTCTAAAGAGTGACTGTTTCCCAAGAACTTTTTCCCTGTAAACTAGAGCATTTGTTGTTATGAAAGAAAAACCTTATGTTTCTATTAGATGTCCCTTACTACTTTTTAGCATCTTTCAGTGGTATTTCTGCTTTAAAACACTAAAAAACTAAGGCATGAAACAGGACCAGTTGTGTCAGCTAACTTGTATTGTTGTTGAGTTTTTCAGTCCAGGATGAGAAGTAGAAATATTAAATGACGATACTGTTCTTTTTTACCGGTTGGTTAATGCAAGCTTCTCCCTTTGTTGAAGAGAGATTTAAACTCTTTGTACATAGAACATCTTTAGATATTCAGGCCAGAAATTTAATTTCTATTACTCTAGTCCAAGCCACTTCTTACCTCACTATTTACAATAGCCTCTTAAGCAATTTCTTAATTTCTGTTTCTGTTGTCCACTTTCCTTCGCCTCAGTCTGCTTTTTACACATCGGCCAGAATGAGTTCTTTAAAAAGTGAAATAAATCATATCAGCCCTGTCTTCAAACCCTCTAAAGGTCTTCCATTTCATTCATAGAAGTTGAAATCCTCACCATGGCTTTATAGAGTGATCAGTGTGCCCTAGGGTAGGTACAGTTTATTTCTTGTCTCAGCATATTTATTAATAGCTCCCCCTTTCCCTCTGTATAATTTAATGTTGAGAGCATCCTGGTTTGAGTGACAAAGTACTTGGTCATCCTGCTTGTTTAGACTCCTGATATTACTCTGCCTTGCTAATTTCATTGCAGCCAAAAGGGTTTCTTCTATTCTTTTGACATGTTGAACTTTCTCTCACCTTAGGGCCTTTGCACCCATGTTCCCTCTACCTGAAGCAGTCTTCTCTGAGCTGGCTGATGAGCTGATTTCCTTACTTCATTTCATCTTTGCTTAAATGTGATTTTATAAGAAAAGCCTTTCCTGCCTATTCGATACAAAAGATGACCACCTCCTTTCGTTCTACATTTTTACCCTTCTTTATTCCCTGACCTATCTTTATTTACTGCCTACGTATCTGTGTAGGCCTCGTTCCGGAGTATAAGCTCCCTGAGGTTAAGGACTGTATTTGCTGCTCAGTCTCCCCAGTTCCTAGAGCAGCGCAGTAGGCACCCAGTAAATGGTGTTACTAGACAACTAGTAAAATGAAATTACGCGCTGGGGGAAATAATTTGTTATAATAGCTCAAAGTGAGTGATAAAATATCATTTGATAAAACTTGTATGGAATGAATATTATCTTTTCCCTCTTTTTCTTTTCAGAAATATTTAATTGTGAAAGTACTCTATTTAGCTGTGGTTGTTACATCGTCTGAATAATGTGCTTTTGAACTTACTCTTCTCATAATTTGATTAAATACCTCATTCTTTAAAGTGACTTAAAATTTTTAAAAGAGCTTTACTGAGGTTTAATTTACACTCCATACCATAAGTTTACCCATTTAAGTGTGCTGGTTAATGACTTTCAGTAAATTTAAAGTTGTACAGCTGTCACAACCCAGTTTAGAATGTTTCCATCACTTTGAAAGTGGCTGTTAATAAAATTCATACCTTTCTTCCCCGTTGTTTTCCCTCGAATGTTTTACATCCTCTATATATGCCATCCTCATCCTGGCCGCAGACACAATACACAAGTTAGTTTTGTGACCCAGCGGAGGCTACAGAAGTGTTTTTCCTTCTCTGTACACCTACAAAAAGTAAATACTTTTTTTTTTTTTTTGCAGTTAAAGTTCTCTAAAATGATTTATGCATGTTAATTTTTTCCTCCCAAATAAATTATGTACTACTTGAATAGAGAACTGTCTTAACTGTTTACACTGACAAGGCACATTGTGGGCATTTAAACTTGTTTCAATGGTCATGTAACCTTTTCAGTTTAGCAAGTTAGTAACTTTATCCTAAACAATATTCTTTATCATGTGTCTCCTTTCTGTCCATGTTCACCAGGTACATACTTTGTTTCTAAAGTGTACTAAAAATCTTGGAAGTTTAAATGAAACTGTCCTTAAAGCATCTAGATAATACAATCCCCGGCATGTAGTAGTGTTACAGATTGTTTCCTTCGTAAAAAATATTACTGATGTAAATTTATACAACACTGATTGACCTCTGAGAACTACTGTTTAATTTTTATTTCAAAATTCTAGTATGTAGTTATTAATATACCAGCAATTCATTTTAGCATAGATTTAGCTGATTTGAAATAGTATTGGCGTTAAATAAGGCTACTGAGGGATAGTTTCTCTTTAAAGAGGAGGCTTTAGTAATGAGAAGTGTAGTGCCAACAAAGCTAAAAACTAACTATCTTTTGTAGATCCAGGTCCAGAGAGCATCGCAGACATAGGTCTCGCTCCATGTCACGGGAACGGAAAAGGAGAACTCGATCCAAATCCCGGGAGAAACGCCATCGCCACAGGTCCCGCTCCAGCAGCCGTAGTCGCAGCCGCAGCCACCAGAGAAGTGGGCACAGTTCTAGAGACAGGAGCAGAGAGCGATCCAGGAGGAGGTACTGAGGTCCATAGGAGGATATGGAACTACCTTTACAGTTTAGACTTGGAATACTGGTGGTTTGAACTTGGCATCTGCTAATTTGTACACATTTGTGTGTGAGTGTATAACATTTTTTTTCCTGAATATATGGGTAGTTCAGAAAGAATATACTTATGAGCAAGAGTAAGAAATTGGAACCAATATGTGCAGAGGTTATTGCTTTTCTCTGCTTAGTGTGTCTTGGGAAGAAGTACTTTATGGACAAATAATTTTAGGTACCAGTACTGTTAGAGCGCTTTTCCAGTATGTATTGGTGAATTAGGGACTCTGAGAAGTCCTTTCATTAAGAGTTGTCTGACTTACTGTTTTCTGAACTTCTTTGAGCTGGTGTACTTTTTCAGAGCAGACATTCAGTATATTCTTGTTTATTCTGCACTATAGATACGCATTGTTATATACAGTTAGTTGGGCAGGGCAGGTTCAGAATTTTAAAGGAAGTTAGACGTCATTGGCATGAAAATTCAAAACGTGCAAGGAGAGCAGACCCAGGGTGAGGTATGTTTTTAAGGACTTGAATATCTAATCAGGACAAAGGATTAGAATGTGGTGGAGCCTTAAGCACTCATGGTCTGTATAGACCAAGCTCCCCAAACTTCTCAGGTCCCATTATGGCCCTTAAGCCAGGTCATTTCTATGGAACAGAAACATTTTTTGAGTGCCTAGTATCTACTAAGCTTAAGTTTTCTGTGGATTACTCCACATAAAGTCCGTGATAAATTTTTAACAGCTTTCTGCAGATTTTGTTTTTTTTTGCCCCCTCAGCTAGCCATTCCCCGAAACTGCTCACAAACTGCGTTGGATATAATAGGCTCTTTTATTTATTCCTTATATTCTTGCCTTGTTCCAAGTAGGTTCCCTCCCCCACCCCCAGCTTTACTGAGGCATAATTGACAAAGTAAGTTGTAAGACATGTGAAGTGGGCATTGTGGTAATTAATTTGCTCTACATATACATTGTGAAAGGATTCCTTCCATCTAGTTAATTAACACCTCCATCACCTCACATATATTTTTATTGTTTTTGGTGAGAACATTTAAGTTCCACTCTTAGAAAACCAAGTAGTTCTTCAGGAGACTTTAAATCAGTAATAATTGTATACCTTCTACTGTATTAAAAAAAATAAGTATAATGTAGTTGAGCAGCTTTATTCAAGTGAGTTAGGACACAGGACTAAATAACATCTTTGACAATAATGAGCACTGACGAAGTGCTAAACTGGATATCAGAGTAAATAATACAGGAGCTTAGATGAGGGAAGTACCAGAGTAACAACAAGAACAACAAAAATGGCTTCAGGGAATAGCCTAAAACCTAGAGTGGGTATAATCCGATTGATAAAACCAGGCAGGAAAAATATTCTGGGTATTATAGGCAAATGCAGAGAATGAGCAGGGAATTGATGAGGGCAGAGCTCCGCATGGTGTGAATTCTAGGCCACTTATCTCATTCTTAAAACTAGGCATACAGTACAGTGTCCAGAAAAATACATTTAAAACAATTCTTCAGGAATCTTACCTGCACTGTAAATTTTAAGAATCATTTTGCTGGTTGATAGGTCTAGATAATTTCTCTTGTCAGCTTGGCTACCTGTCATTTTTTTCTGATGTCTCTGAACTCTTAAATGTCGTTTTTGGTGGTAGGGATGGAGAGATGGGCATGAAGTCTCCTCTTCTGGGACCTAGTCCCTAAGGTTTCCTCTGTTAATCAAGACATATAGGAAATTTTCCCACCATACCACCTGACACCCCTCATCTAGTATTTTCAGCATGTTGCTAATAAAGAGGATTATTTTTGTAAAATTATTTCTGTTCCCAAGAGCACTTCTAATCTTGATACTCAAATTACTTTTTCAAAGCAATATTTTGTTTTTTGCCAAAAATTAGCAGACCATTGCTACTACCATCTACAGTTACTGTATAAAAGAGAATATCAAGTTATTCCTACATAGTAGTTGAGTTTAAATTTCAAGGTAAGCCCCAGTTAAAGGTCTTTTATAACTTGCCATTCTCCTGCTCCAACTGTGAGATACTGGTCTCCAATATAAGTAGATTCTCCTTGTGGCCTTTCCGGGTAACAGTTACCCTTGGTAAATGAGGACCGTTTGCATTTTTCTGCTGCGTTCAGACACATCCAGTGCAGACTTCAGAGTCAGACTACTTGGATGAAAGTGGCCTTGGCCAAATTATCTGATTACCCCTCCTGTCTTTCCTTATCTACTTAGTAGAAGGGTGCCTGCTTCGTCAGGATATTGATAGTTTGAGTGAAATACTGAGTGAAAACTGCTTCTGTAATAAGGACACTGTAATCTCTGGCAGAATACTAGTTGATACTTACAGTTTGTTCTTATTTCTCTGGGACTTACCAGCAATGCGTGTCCTTATTCTTGGGCATCATCTCAATCGTCTCTCTTCATATTCCATTCCTACAAAGACATGGATAGGAATGTGCACTGTATGATTTAACACATTATTTTTAAATTAAGCTTATTAAAACCTTAATTAAGTAGAATGCCAGAAGTGGACATTTAATCTTTCAATCTTTTTGGTTTAATTCTTTTTAACTGTATTTCTAAAACTGGGTAGTAGGGTAGTACTTTTTCCCCTGCCTTAGAAGTTGAAAGTATTACTTAATCAGACCTCAGATCCTAATTCTGAATGTGGGTTAAGTGAGAGAATTATGTAAAAGTACCATGTCACCCGTGAAGAACCAAATAAATGTAATATGTTACTGATTTATTCTAGATGTTGAAGGTATAGAAGATTCCATATTAATTCTGATCCCCTAATGTCCTTTGGGTTTCCTTTTGATTGAATCTCTGGTATGAGCTTATTACCTTTCTTCTTGACTTGGGTATGGGAATGGAAAGGTGGTATTAAACAGTTACAGTTAATCAAGGTTTATTACAGTGTGATCATCTTTCTCTGTATTTTTTTCTGTCGGTTGAATGAGCTAACTCCGCAGGAATAAAGCAGAGTTTTAAATAATAAATGGTTGCTCAAAGCCATATCATTGAGTAGTTCTCTTACCTGAGTGTTGGCAGACTGTTGCCTGCAGGCCAAATGTGGCTCCACAGCCTGTTTTTATACAGCCAGGGAGCTATGGATGATGGTTTTTATATTAAGGGGTTGACAAAAAGAAAAGGAAGAGTATACCACACTCACATGACCTGCAACACCTAAAAAATATTTATCCCTCTGGGCAGACAGCAAAGAGGAGAGGGTTCCTGACCCCTGTCCTAAGCCACTGATTTCCATCTGATTGGGAATCTACATTCTATTGTATATTCTTAAAACATTGGATAACATCTTTAAGGTATTGTCTAGATATTATTTTTATATTAATTATGTTTGCTGTGAACTGGAGAAGCTTTAGGGTTGCCTCGAAGATAATGAGAATGTCCTGTAAATCATTTTGGCTTATGGTTTTTGACCCTTAGCTGTTTGTCTTCATCCATCTCCTTGTTTTAGTACCCTTGTCAAATACAGTAGTGCTCTCTTCTTGGATGCATTCTGTATAGCTTCAGCTAATCAGTACCTTAATATTTATCCGATTCTTTCATTTGGATTTTGGGTTTCCCAACACATTTTGCTCCTCAAATTAATATTTTTCAGATCCTCAAAAGAGAGATTCAGAGAACAAGACTTAGCATCACGTGACAGAGACAGGAATTCAAGAGACAGATCACCTCGTGACAGAGATCGAAAAGATAAGAAGCGGTCCTATGAGAGCGCTAATGGCAGATCAGAAGACAGGAGGAGCTCTGAAGAGCGCGAAGCAGGGGAGATATAATTAGCTGTGTACATATCCTCAATCCTTAAGCTTCCTCTGGAGTTACATACTATTGTTTAGTTTACAGCTGTTCAGGGTGACACAGTGAGCAGTTCCAGACACCGATCCAGCTAGGCTTAGGTGTATAGCATCTGACTCGATCTGAACTTGTTTTCTTTGATGAAGCCTAAAACTACATCCATAGTTTCTGGTGAACTTGTAATACACTTCTGAAAGTACAGTTTTATATGATAAGATGCCGATGTCTTTATTCTTTCTAGTAGGAGTGATAGTGAATGAATTGTGTAATACTTGCCTTGGGATTTTTTGAACATTTGTAAAATGCTGTCTTCCTTTCTCGTCCAAAAAAAACAGAAACTTTGGGAATTTCTTTTTAATCCTTCTTCCTTTGACTCCGTATCCCCTGATACCTCTACCCTCTAACTGTAAGAGAAAGGGGTGCAGGGAAGCAGTATAACTTCTGTTCTAAGGTTCTATTCCCATTATTAATTACTAGCTTACAGTTCAGAACATTTATACTGGAATGTGTGCTGGAGAAATTTAAAGTACCGGGAGTTCTGTTTGTCTAACGGTGCCTATTTTAGAGTGGGAGGTTGAACAGCTGTTGCATTACATGCTTTGCTTTTTTATTGAAATTCTGAAATCAAACATGTCTTGATTTTTCTGTTCTATTGAATAGCTATGTTCAGGATGTTTTGAGATGGGGGGTGGGGGCAGGGACTCTTTCATAAGCACTTCTTGTTTTATTTTGTGTGTGTGGAGTATAAAGATTACACCCTTATTGTAAAAAATAATAAAATGAAAATCACCACCACCATTAAACTGTAACTTGTCTAGTAAATTCTCACTAGAACTACTTGCTGTGGCCATTTCTATTCTGTTACTAATAGTGCCTTACTGTGCAAGGCACCAAAGGAAATAAATATATACTTACAGATGCAAGATGAATTGTTGCTCCACCTGGGCCCTTGCTGGCTATATTCCAGCTACTTCAGGACTGTAACAACCGCTGTAGAGAAGGACCAGACCTGCAGAAGAAATTTGAGTTTATTTGTTTTGTTTTTCTTCACATTGAGCAAATTGAAATAAAAACATGGTGTAACCAGTGTAATGAGACTAACGATTTCCGCATTGAAAAGCTATATGCCCACTCGTGTTTAAACAGTAGTTAAAACTTGAGATTCTTGAAAAACAAGAATATGATGAAGTAAGGGTCTGTGAGTGAGTATGGTTAAGATCCTCTCAAGGACTATTTCTGTCTTTAGTTCCGTAAGTTTTAACAAATTTGATGTGACAGGAACGTAAGCCTCAGAAACTGAAACTAATCATTTTAAGTGACATCAGATTTACATCTAAAGGGGACAAACCTCACGTTCCCAGTTTACCAAGTTGTGCCTCATTAAATGAGGTGTTCCTGCCATATTTGGTTCCACACATTTAGTTCATACAAAGTTTTATCGGAGACCCAGCTGCATCAGTACCCATTTATTTTTGGTTGCTCAGAAATTGTTATCTCCTTTGTTCCTAGTGGCCTGTGCTGGCCTCTTCACTCCTTAAAAGCACTTTAGACTTAGTACCTTAGGGTGTGGAATGAGGTCCAAAAGGTAGGTGCAAGGAAGGCTGTCTGGAACCTGACCCACCATAGTGATATGTGTGGAGTTAAATACCACATATATCTAAGTGGCCACCAACAAACAGGTCAGCAATAGCCAGTGAAGGACATCATCATCATGCAGGGGCTGGGGGCCGTGGCAGGTCACCTCACCTGCATGTTCCTGAACTGAATAACCCCATTTTATTAGTAGTAGTATTTTTTTTTTTTTTTTTGCGGTACGCGGGCCTCTCACTGCTGCGACCTCTCCCGTTGCGGAGCACAGGCTCCGGACGCGCAGGCTCAGCGGCCATGGCTCACGGGCCCAGCCACTCCGCGGCATGTGGGATCTTCCCGGACCGGGGCACGAACCTGTGTCCCCTGCATCGGCAGGCGGACTCTCAAGCACTGCACCACCAGGGAAGCTCTGAATAACCCCCATTTTAAAAGATCCTTTTAGAACAATTCTGTGGCTTAGATACTGCTAGTATTTGTTTTCGTTTTTAACTTATTTGGCTGCATTGGGTCTTCGTTGCTGTGCACAGGCTTTCTCTAGTTGTGGCGAGCAGGGCCTACTCTTCGTTGCAGTGCACAGGCTTCTCATTGCAGTGGCTTCTCTTGTTGCAGAGCACAGGCTCTAGGCACGCAGGCTTCAGGAGTTGTGGCTTGTGGGCTCTAGAGCTCAGGAGTTGTGGCACACGGGCTTAGTTGCTCTGCAGCATGTGGGATATTCCTGGAGCAGGGCTCCAACCCGTGTCCCCTGCACTGGCAGGTGGATTCTTAACCACTGCGCCACCAGGGAAGTCCCACCGCTCGTATTTGGACTTCAGAGTAAATGTACATTTTTGGTAGTCATCCTTGAGCCAGGGTAACCATTCTGAGTTAGAATAACCCTAAAGTCTCTCTCATACACAATTTGGTATTTTTTTGTTATCTTTAGAGAAAGTTTAGTCACATTTACAAGAACACTTGATCCTCTGGGGATGTTATGCTAAGTATTTTCCTTCAATAAGACCCTCATTTTAGGGACTTATGGTGACGCAGTGGATAACAATTGGCCTGCCAATGCAGGGGACACGGGTTTGATTCCTGGTCCGGGAAGATCCCACATGCCGAGGAGCAGCTAAGCCCGTGCGCCACAACTACTGAGCCTGCGTGCCACAACTACTGAGCCCACCTGCCACAACTACTGAAGCCCACACGCTTAGAGCCTGTGCACCGCAACAAGAGAAGCCACCACAAGGAGAACCCTGTGCACTGCAACAAAGAATAGCCCCTGCTCTCCAAAACTAGAGGAAGGCTGCACACAGCAACAAAGACCCAACACGGCCAAAAATTAAAAAAAAAAAAAAAAGATTTAATTTTATTTAAGACCCTCATTTTACTGTCAGCAAGCATTTTCCCCAAAGCTGCATTGCTGAGCTGTATCAACAGTATCAACTCAAAAGAAAAAACCCTCCATTTGTAAGGAGACTTGTTTTTTCCCAGTAAGACTTTCTTACCTTTATGATAAAAAGTTAAACCTTAGTTTTAGGGTTGATTTATCAAGTTCCTGGTATTTTTACCCTCCAAAGTTCCATTTTAAGAGCCTACTTTCATATACAATTTCATAACAGCTTTCAACATTAGCCCTTTGAGCCAGAGCCCAGCATGCATTACAGTTTTGTCATTCAAGGTAGTAATCTGTCATTCATTGTGGCAAATGTAATTTGTCATTCAGTATGGTACCTTTTCAAAAGGGTAGTGTTAGGTAACAGCCCATCACTGTAAGTTTTTATAAACAAATGTTGGTGATGGTTTAAAATCGTAAGTACTTACAGGGTTTAACATTAAAGATCCAAGTAAATATTACATAACTTAATAAAAGTATGCACATTTAAGGTAGATACTCAACTAAGAACAGGTACAGCTATGCAGATTGTTAAGCCATTGAAACATACCCCTCAGCTGGTAATTAGCTGCTGCCCTGAGCTTCCTGCGTGCCTCCCCTGCCCCCAAACCATCCTCGCATCTCTTAGGTTTAGGTCTGGTGCAGCTGAGAATCTTCAGAACCTTGATCTGGCACAATATGCTATACTGATACTTTGGGGGGAAATTTCTTGTCTGTTTTTCCTATCTGGGAAAAAAGCTATTTACATCCATTATTCATTATACCTTGACTACTGGTATTCAGATTTTCCCAGGGCATAAATAATGCAATAAATACTAAGTTGTTCTTTCTTTTCATTACCTGCTGCAATTTGAAAAGAAAAAAAATCTCACCTTCAGCAGAGTTGGGAAAGGCAGGAGAGGGCTGAGAACAGGGGTTTGATGGCAGAGGCAGACTGAGGGGGGCTAGGCATGGGACTACCAGTAGAGTGGTGCTGGGGCCACAGGTGAGCAGGGCTCTGAGGTACTGGGGGCAGCAGATGTTTCAGAACTGTGAGGTGTACCTACATGTTCTCCAAGTACCAGCAGAAACCAGGATGTCAGAGGTTTTGGGTCTACAAGCACACCTAGGGTCAGACCAAACTACGTGCCAGCATGGCAGGGTTCCGGCTGAAAGCGAGGCATTCAGACGCACAGAACTGGGCTCTCAGTCAAGGATCCAGCAAGGTGAGGCCACATAGGAAGTGCCAGCACCAGAACCTACAGATGATGCTTTGGGAGAGGCTCCTAGGGTCCCAAACACAATGCACTCCTTTACCTGGATACTGTTGGGTGCTTGTAACACAAGATCCAACTCAAACAGCCTTACACAAGGAAGGGTCTGTTGGCTCACATGATTGAGTTCCATGTGACACCTTCATTCTCAGGTTAGCACAGAGCCAGATATCCAGATGAAGAGAAACTGTTACCAAACCAGGTTCATCTTGCCTGACATTGAGGGAACTGAAACGCTGAGATTCCAAGATTTGAGACAAAGAGAGGATGTCTTTGCAAGTTAGCCGAGGTAGGAGATGGGAGAACCGATCTCAAGCCTGCCTCCCTGAAGGCAAGGGGCTCTCAGGGTAGTGATGGGATGATGAATAAAGAAGCAGGGTGGCATGCTCTTGGATTGGAAAAATTAATATTGTTAAAATGGCCATACTACCCAAAGCATTCTGCAGACTTAATGCTATCCCTATCAAATTACCCATAACATCTTCCACAGAACTAGAACAAATAATCCTAAAATTCATACGGAACCATTAAAAGACCAAGAATTGCCAAAGCAATCCTGAAGAAAAAAAAGCAGGAGGTAGGGTTTCCCTGGTGGCGCAGTGGTTGAGAGTCCGCCTGCCAATGCAGGGGACACGGGTTCGTGCCCCGGTCGGGGAGGATCCCACATGCACCGGAGCGGCTGGGCCCGTGAGCCATGGCCGCTGAACCTGTGTGTCCGGAGCCTGTGCTCCGCAATGGGAGAGGCCACAACAGTGAGAGGCCCACGTAACACACACACACACAAAACAGGAGGCATAACCCTCCCAGTCTTCAGACACTACTACAAAGCTACAGTAATCAAAACAGTGTGGTATTGGCGCAAAAGCAGACATGGATCAATGGAACAGAATAGAGCCCAGAAATAAACCCAAACACCTACGGTCAATTAATCTTCGACAAAGGAGGCAAGAATATACAATGGGAAGAAGACAGTCTCCTCAGCAAGTGGTGTTAGGAAAACTGGACAGCCACATGTAAATCAATGAGGATAGAACACACCCTCTCACCATTACACAAAAATAAAAAAATGGCTTAATGACTTAAACAAGACATGACACCATAAAACGCCTAGAAGAGAACATAAGCAAAATATTCTCTGACATAAACCCTACCAGTATTTTTTTAGGTCTCCCAAGGCAGTAGCAATAAAACCGAAAATAAAGGAATAGGACCTACTCAAACTTACAAGCTTTTGCACAGCAAAGGAAACCATAAACAAAACGAAAAGACAACCTACAGAATGGGAGAAAACACTTGCAAACAATGTGACCGACAAGGGTTTAATTTCCAAACTATACAAACAAGTCATACAACTCAAAAGCAAACAACCCAATCGAAAAATGGGCAGAAAACCTAAATAGACATTTATCCAAAAGAGACATACAGATGGCCAACAGGCACATGAAAAGATTCTCAACATTGCTAATTTAATATTAGAGAAATGCAAATCAAAACTGTAATGAGGTATCACCTCACACCAGTCAGAATGGCCGTCATTAAAAAGTCGACAAATAGGGCTTCCCTGGTGGCGCAGTGGATGAGAGTCCGCCTGCCGATGGAGGGGACATGGGTTCGTGCCCCGGTCCGGGAAGATCCCACATGCCGCAGAGCGGCTGGGCCCGTGAGCCATGGCCGCTGAGCCTGCGCGTCCGGAGCCTGTGCTCCGCAACGGGAGAGAGGCCACTACAGCTAGAGGCCCACGTACCTCAAAAAAAAAAAAAAAAAAAGTCGACAAATAACAAATGCTGCAGAAAGTGTGGAAAAAAGAAAAGGCTCCTACACTGTTGGTGGGAATGTAAGCTGTTGCAGCTACCGTGCAAAACAGTATGGAGGTTCCTTAGAA